AGCGTAGCCCTTGGTGTAGAGCAAGAAGTGGTGAATAAGAGCCTCCATGTTCTCCTTCATGGCGGATCGAGGAGGAGGAGAGACCTTGTAGTCCTCAACACGGACGGGACCTGCGGGCATCTTGTTGAGGCACTGGTGAATAATGCGGAGAGACTGTCGGAACTCCTCCATTCGGCAGAGGTATCGGTCGTAGCAGTCACCGTTAGTTCCAACGGGAACGTCGAACTCAACCTGGTCGTAGGCATCATAGGGCTGGTTCTTTCGGACATCGAAAGGAACACCAGAACCTCGAAGCATCACGCCAGTGAAGGAAAGGTTCAGGGCCTCAGTGGCGGGAACAACACCAACACCCCTCAATCGCTCAATCCAGATACGGTTATCAGTCAACATCTCCTCGGTCTCGTCGATTCGGTCACCGAACTGGGTAGCCCACTGGTAAATATCGTCGAGAAGGCCAACGGGGATATCCTGATGAACTCCACCAGGTCGAACGTAGGCAGCGTGGAGGCGGGCACCGGAAACACGCTCATAGAATTCCTGGAACATGTCAATTGCTGATTTGCTTCAACCACTCATGTTTCACCTACCATGAGCTTCTCACGCTCTTCGAAACCCCACAGGAAAGGCGTCAAAGCACCAACATCCATCGCGTGTGAGAGAACAGACATCAGATGGTTCAGAATACGGGTGATCTCGCCAAACAGAGTTCGGATGAACTTTGCTCGCTCAGGGATTTCGACGTTGAGAAGCTTCTCAACAGCAAGAGAGAAACATTGCTCGTTGGTCATCATAGAGACGTAATCAAGTCGATCAAAGTACGGCAGAGCCTGGAGATATGTCTTGTACTCGATCAACTTCTCAGTACCTCGATGCAGTAGACCCACGTGGGGGTCGGCTCGGACGATCTCTTCACCATTGAGCTCGAGAATCAAACGCAACACGCCGTGGGCAGCGGGATGCTGAGGACCAAAGTTGACGGTATAATGTCGAACCTTTCGGTCCTGGACGGAGTTCTCGCGCGACTTTCGGGTACCGGCTTTTCGGGGCTTAGAGAGACCGTAGGCATCTTGGGCGGATGAGAAGTCTTCGTCAACGGGGACGAGTCTGGTGCCGACGGGCTCGACAGCGGCGGCGTACTTTCGCAAGCAGGTCGTCGAAAAAGGGCGGGCAGCAAATGTTGCTGGCCGCATGCACAGGCTCTTGGCGCCTCGGCTGGCGAGTCGGAGGGAAGCCATTGTGTGAAGAGCAGGGAGGGAACGGCCGTTAGTGAGACGAGATGTGTAGAGTCTCCCAAGAGGGCCTCTGGCTCGAGGTCAATGGCAGGTTGATGGAGGGGAATTCGCCTTCGTGATTGTGGCCGTCATCTCCCGCGGTCCGGGGATCTGTGTCGAAACCTGGGAGCTTTGGTCTTGGTGGTGGGTCGGACTATTATTCTTGCGGGGAACTGGCCAATCAGAAATCAATCATTACTCGTTGATTTTTCCTCACCGCGAGCAACATCTACGCCAATTGCATCACATCACTCGGCCGAGTTACTGTAGTTGAGAAGAGTCATTCTGCAATCTTGTACGGGCCTTTATCTTGTATGGTTCAAGACGTTTCGAAAACAAGTACCGAGATTTCGCATTCTTCTGATGAAATAAACTTTCACTTTTTGAATAACCCGAGCTTATCGCTGCAACTTCCCGCTAAGAATCAAAGCCGTCATCTACTCTTTAGGTCCAAGATGAGGAATTCTTGATTCGCCCCAGCTAATAATTTACTAATACAAGGCACTTTCTATCCATGAGTTAATCTTGACTGTAAGGCGAAGACTTAGTAAACTTGGTGACACATCCAGCAAGATGTGCTTAATAACCCCAAGGTGTTCATTGTACAATCTTGGAGCTATGAGTGAAGTTGATCTTGTTCCTCTGCATTTCTTTTATATCTCCGAGATGAAACTTCGCAATGGCAAGTTGAACTAGCGTCCTGATTGATATGATAAACGACTCTGCATTATAAGTATAATCTCTTCAGTGTCAGGTCTGCATCTTCCTTTGCTCCTGTTCAGCTATAGTTCGCTCCTCAACAGACCGAACAGAACCTCGTCTCGTATTTCCCCATTCTTGCAAACAGCACCTCTCCTGGTGCCTTCTTCAACGAGCCCAGACTTCCTTAGTACATTTTGGCTTGCTTTATTGCCCCCATTTGCACACGCCTCGATCCTGTTTAACTCAGGCCATGTTTCGAAACACCATCGTATGAGCGCCCTAGCAGCTTCAGTTGCGTAGCCTTTTCCCCAGGCTGTCTCAGCCAACCAATAGCCCATCTCCCACGTGCGGAAATAGACATCATTCTTGGCCATCATGCCTATAGTGCCTATAAAGACCGGTTCCGACGAAGGGTTCTCTGTCGTGTTGGCCTTGACAAAGATGCCACAGTGTTGACCAGCACCGTCAAAGTTGTTGGCTACGTTGTTGATAAAATACAATGCATCGGCCAGTGTGTAAGGGGATGGGAAGCCATCACGCAGGTTTCTTGAGATAGACTTATTGTCAGCGGCTTGAGACATGACTTCTGCGTCGGATGGATAGAATCGACGGAGGATGAGTCGCTGTGTTTCGAGTATTTTTGCTCCCGGCTCCTCGCATGTTGAGGAAGCTGCAGTTAACCTTCTTGTGCTGGCCATGGTGGAAGCTCCTCGAAGTCGATAGCAAGTTTGTTTGATCAGGTGGTGTTCTCGAAGGTGCAAGTGTTGGTGATGTTTCAAACAAGTACAGCAAGTCAGAAATAGTGTAACTTGGGATTATTCATCAGTCCAGAAAGTGAGAGGTTTCCAGCTTACGAGTTGGTATTTAAATCAAATGTACCTACCGGTATGACCACTACAGTGACTCACGACGGCGATGCCTCAAAAAGGGGGCTACCTTATTGTTGCCGTACTCGCCGATTTACAAAGGTCCCTACAGGCGGCTAGTGTCTTACAGGCAGCTGCATTAGATGCCGCCAGCAAGTGGAGGTTACATACGACAAGACAAACATAAATAGAAGTATATTCGAACGATAGCAAGACCCCCGGATTACTTTTGTACCATACCTACTTACCTACCTAGGTAGGTATCTATACTGGACAAGTTGTTGACCTTTTTCATACTACTTACCTAGATATGTAACGACAATAGTAAATCGCATCTATCGCTACCGTAGCTTATTCTATAATGCGGCTCGCTGTGCAAAACAACCCAGTAGTGGGTTACAAATGAGTAAAGTTGAACAGACGGTGACCATCTCAAGGCTCTTTCGTGTTTCTCCAATGGCAATTACATATTAACTAGTATTGTCAGAACCGGCTGGTTGATGTAATGAGTAATATTGAATTATTGTAACCATTATTATATGCCAAGCGCCATAACTTCTCCTAGTGAACAAGACAATGACCCATTTTGACAAGATCCCAGTATATACACCAAAAAGGGCTCTCGCATGGCGCTTTTCAACCAAGCTGAGCCTTATGCCCTCGCCGCACCAAGTTGAATGCTTTGTATCGAATGTCAAACCGGGCAGAACAGAGCATGCCACTATGGAAGATCGACGCTGGCGTTTTGGTATCCTTTGTTCCCAAAATGATCCACTCCGTGTCAGGTCTCTACCGTTCCCTTGATGCCGAAATCTATATCTCTTCTTCTCCCTCACTGCCGAGCCGCAGGAGCATTAAGGTATACATTTAGACCATAGGGGCCATTGTTTCTGCAAACGCCGCGACCAAGATCGAATGATGTAGGCCGTTATGAACAAAGGGGGAATAAAGAAAAAAGACAATGCCTCACTATCCCCGTGGGGGAGAAAACGCCAAAAACAGACCAAAACGAACAATAATAAACTTTTAATGAACCCCTCGCCATGCCCCAGAAGATGCAACGAACGACATCCCGCTTTGTAGTGATGAACAGTGCTTTTGTTAGGAAATGTGAAGAATGACCAAAAGGTCATATTGTGTTACTGACAAAGGAAATTATGGCTATGGCCGAATTGTAAATGATGGAATGCGGAACCAACAAAAACACCAACAAAATCATATCAAGGTCTCCGAGCAATATTGACACCAGGATTGACAAAGGCTCTGTATGCAATGTCGCATAGACGTCGGACGACGTTGGTTGTTCCACCTGTGACCTGAGACTCGTCGTAAATGAACTTGGATGCTACTGAGAGTCTGTTCTTGGGGTCACTCTCGTCGGCATGTTGAGGAGCAGCGTTACCGTAGGGAGAATCGAAGTGGGGAGCAAGTTCTCGAACAACTGCAATCGAGTAGAGAACATCGCGGTTCTCACGACCATCAAGTAGATAGCGCATTCTCGAAAGCATTTCCTCCCTAGACTTGGCGGCAGACGGACCAGTTGGATCCTCCCGCGTACGCACGAACTCAGCCAGGCTGTACCAGAAATCAAATTGTCGGGTTCGGTAACTATCAGGGTCTTGCATTGGCGGGCAGAGTGGGTTGACTGATAGATAGTCTCCACACAAAAGTGCCTCAACAACTCGGACACGGTTTTGGATCTCCTTGGCATCACCATCGTGCGGCAGCGTTGTGGTACTGACAGCAGAAGCTGCAGTGGGAGGGTCGTATGCTGCTCGCGCAAGCTCCCACACAAGGCGCGTCTCAAGGATACCAGAGTAGGCCATCTGTGTTTGATCGTTGACCTTTACAGCCTCCAAAGCCTTGAGAAAAGATGCCATCAAATCGACGAGGCGCTGGCTTTGAGGGAACGAAGGTGATCCATTTTCTGTAAAGTGATACCACCCAGATTCGAAGAAAGAGGCAAGCCCAGGTGCGTACATTTCATGATACACCTTGGTGATTTCATTGCGAATCCCCTCAGTGTGAGCAACGTTCTGGGACGGAGGAACTGTGCCCAGGAGATTGATAATTTCATCAATCTTCATTTTGTTGGCTGTCAGAAACGCGCGTAAGCAGATGTTCTCAACAGCAGCGCAGCAAACGACGAACAAGGGTGAAATCAATAGTAGGGGGCGCCACCTCTAAGATGTTGGTTGTTGTCAGCGAGAGGCCTTTGTTCAACCGCTCTAGAGCTTTCCGCGTTTGAGGTTGATGAAAATCCTTGAAGGGCTGGGTCGATTGCGGGCGGATACTCGTATGTCGACTCGGATTTGACAGGAGGAGATGCAACGTTGGAAAAACTCGAGTCGTAGCTAAGCGAGGTGATAGACGGGTTAGGGCTTGCTGTTGTCGCGTGAGCTGTTGCATACGAGCTTGGGAGCATAGATGGCTGGCTGCCGTATGAGTTTGTAGGTCGAGCGGTAAGGGCAGTATTGGGCGCTATCGACGAAGGGACAGTTGAAGGTACAGAGCTTGGAACTGTGGGAGGAGTCCTTTGGCTGGGCGCAGGTTGGATATTGGAAGATGATTGTCCACCCGCTTGTTGTCTGAAAATGGGGTCGTAACCGAGACACTCGCGCTTCGACTTTTTACAGTTGTTGCAAGTTGGGTGTGTTTCGTCGCACTGGGAGATGTTAGAGCTGTGTTGGGCGGGGTGCTATCTCCACCACAAAGTAGAGAGGGGGTTTGTGCAGCTGCCTAGGTAGGAGATGCACGGTAGCTGCGACCAATGACAAGCTGAGCAGAGCTCCCAAAACCTCGAGGAGCTTAGACTCCAAGGCAATCCATCCATTTACTGGAGCGCTCTGAGATTGGGATTGGGCGATTGCGATACAAGCAATTACTTGGGGAAATCTGGGGTGATGAGTGCTACGTGAACGTGAGTCTTGCTTGTTTCTGTGACCTCCTGGCAAACGAGCAAGTGTGCAAGAAGCTGCAAGCTTGATGCAGCACAGGGTTTTGGATAACCTGCTGTAAGCTCATCACCTGCGACACGTATCTGAAGCCCGCCTTCTTCCCAAGTCATCTTCTTGATTCGCCGCGTCCCATCTCGTGTTTCAAGGTCACGAGCTGCACAAGGGGAGATAAGTATGAAATCATAGCTCACCTTGATACGACGCTTTCTGCAAGTCAGACAGCCTGTTTTTGTCCGACGTTTAATCTCCTACAGGTCACAGTCAGCTTCAATCTCCAACCCCTTCGCTAGCTATGGCCTGCTGGAACGAGACCCCTGACCAAGCTTCAACACACCTTCTTCGGTCCCCTATGACCCAGAAGCCGCGGATCGTGAGGAATAGCATAACGAGCCATCGAATCGGGAAGACCGTAGCTTGCCATTGGCATGCCTTGGTGGCTATAGAATGGCACACCGCCTGGCGTGGGCGCCATATGCATGTTCATTGGCATGCCCTGCGGATTCGATACTGGAAGCCCATGTGGGTTTTCGATTGTCCTCATGCTAGGCAGCGGCATACTGACAGGCATAGGACTCGGTCTGTATGGCTCCGTTGCTTGACTCGTGACTACAGGATAAGGGGCATATTGGGCGGCTGATTGGCCTGCCGAGGACGCATAAGGCATCGAGGAGCCCGGATAGCTCACATGCTGACCATGAGGTAGTCCTGGATGCTGGTTGGACATTTCCGAGTTGGGCGTCGGTGTCGAAGCAGCCTCGGGGGCCCTGCTGTCGCCGTTCTGTTGAGGAACCGCGGGCGGAGCGGCAGAAGCAGCAGGAGCCGAGGCTGGCGTGAGTGTTGGCACGGAAGAAGAGACGGCGAATGAGTCGGATTCGGAGGATGCGGCGAGTGTAGAGGTGGGAACTGGAACGGTCGTCGAGGCGGTCGGGCGGTCCGCAGCCGTGAACGGCACTGAAGCAAGCTCGGTGATGGGTGGGAGTGTCGTCTCGGCAGCAGCAGTGTTGGAAGCTGGAGGAGCGGTGACAGATGTAACTATGGGAGCTAGAGAAGGAGACTTCGATGTTGGGGCAGAAATTGTAGGATTATTGGAAGAGTCACCGTGACTCTGCCCATGGTCTTCTTGAGCCATGTTGTTTTTTAATTAGAAATTTTTATGGAGCCTCAAAGCAAAGTCAGGAAGAAGGACAAGCGACCAGGGGGACGCGACCCTGGGTCACGGAGGAAGTCGAAGTGCTGGCACTGGGCAAGGAAGATCAAGAGGAGCCAAAGCCAGGGCGTGGCAGGGGGAGCAAAGGCGTGCAAGAGGGGCAGAACCCAGGACCAGGGGTCGCGACACGATGCGACGGCGATGCAACTGCCACTGAGAGCAAAGCAAGAGTCGCGATGATGGACGGGGCCAAGACCATCGACAGGTGACGCGCTGGAGGAGGAGGAGCAGCAGCGACAATAGCACAGCGAAGAGGAAGATCGCAAGACCCAGGGGTCCAAGAGGCGGGATCGGAAGCGAGGCTCAGAGGCTGAGCTCCAAGATCGGGGGCAAACGGGAAATAGAGTTGGCACGTCCTGTCCCTTCGTCGTCGTCAAGCATCGAAGATACCAGATACTGTACTGTACAATACTATACAACAGAATAACTGGATCGCCCCCTGCCCGGTTGCCGCGTGGTAGTGGTAGTGGTGGCAGTGGTGACCGTGGTGGTGGTGTTGGTGTTGGTGTTGGCCGCCGGGTCCCAGTAAATTGAAAAGTTCTAGTGGAGACGGGCCGGGCTTTGTAGGCCGATGCCCATACGGGATGATCGATACTCGACAAACAAGCGCCGCGCGAACTTGGTCCAGTGAGCGACCTGCTTTACTCTACTTGTAGAACTTATGCAACAGACGGACGGGTATGTAAACGAAATGGAGGCGAGGCATTTGCCCAGCAGAGCAGTTGGCGGAGGCAGAGGCAGATACAAAGGAGCCTCGCTTACTGAAAAGGCTGTTTGATGAGGTACTCAAGGTCGGATGCGAACGAACAAACAGTCGGCCTTCAAAGTTTGGAAAATTGGAGTTGATGGTTGTATCATTCCCATTTCAGGTCCTAGCATAACGCATCAATCGAGCAATCAGCTGAACGGAAGAATAGTAGCTCCAGCTAGAGCCTCTTTGGAGCTGGAAGCAGGTGCATTAGCGGCGCATCGCCCGTCGAACGACAGATCTTGGCCAATCTCAAGCTTCTTCAGAGCTTTGCCTTGTATAAACTTCACACAGACATGGTTACTCCATAATCTCAAATCTCATGGATATAGAAATATCACATACATATGCCCATCATCTCAAGTCGGCTACTACCTACTAACGAGAATTTCTTTTTCGCGTTTCTCCTTTACTCGCTTGACTAGACCCCTAGTATCCAGCAATTCTGGAAGCACTATAGAAGCTGTTACCATGCCCAAGCTCTGTGGAATACCTGACCCTGTTAATGAGGCGCAATACCGGACAAGGTATCCGTATAGCATGGATGATTAGGTTAGCTTGGCAGAGATTCCGCGAGGATTAGTTGGCTGTCTTTATACTCATATGTATTGTTATGCAATACATTTCAGTGAGGCTAGCCAGCATATAGCTGACCACCTGAGGAGAGTGCTAAGACCTGTTTGTTACGAGCAGCCATGACATTGTATTCTCTTCGGTCCGCCATATATCTTAAGAGGATCAAGTAAAATGCAAACATCGATTAAAGTTCAAGGCTTCGTCTGCACAGGCGCATGCAAGAGTTATGTCCGTGTACGGTACTCTGCATGTGGTGTGGCCTGGGCAATCCTGGCTTGAGTTCGATACAAGGCGGCAACTGGCTTGATTGTGTGCCACTCATGGCCTATCGGGTGCAAGGTTCTCGTCCCGTCGTAGACTCCAACGCTCAATACACCCCTATTCTCTGTGATGAGCATGAGCTCAAGTTGAAAAGTTCCGACTGAGATTAACGCTTGGGCTAGACCTGGATAGTCAATCTTCAGTGTAGGTCATCTGGGGCCTAGCTGTTGTTATCCATTTGTTGTCTCTTCTCTCCTTGTATAGATACCTACTAGGCAGCCAACCACTGCACTGATCTGCGTATCCGTATCTCATCCATCCCTCTATCGAACGCAGAAAGCTTCTCCAAAAATGTCAAAGTCGAACCCCCGCAAGCCACTGACCCCACAACACATCCCTAAGGCTAAGAGACTTGACTTTCCTTCCCAAGTCATTCTATAGGAGCCACTAATGTCAGGTACCAACCAGACGGTGCTCGCTGGCTCGAACCCAACCAGCAAGTGGAAGGAACCAAAGCTAACTGCCGTCCCTCCCTTACCTCTCTACCTTTCCCTTCTCTGTTTCCATTCGTTCGTTGTTCTTTGGGCTGAGTCATACAACATAATCTATCCACTCCGTGGTTCGAATTTGGATTTGCACTTGAATTCTTATTATCAAACTTCAAACCTAGCTACTCCGACCGACTCCGTACTCTGCAAGATTGCCTTTCGTCACAATCGTCATTTTTACCTAGAAAAAGTATCCTTTATTTCCTTTCGCCGGTCGTTTCTCACAAATAGGTACCCGCCGGGCTAGGTCACGGTGAATTGCAAATCTTGCTGTTGTCCGCACTCCCCAATCTTAACATATCCAATATCATCTCCCCCCTCTTCCAATTTCAGCAAATCCGAAACCCCTGCTCTCTGTGTCACTTCGTCTTGTTCCATCTCCAGGAGATAGTTACCAAACTGGGAGCCAGAAGCTTCAAAACAGGCGCCGCTCATGCATGCACCATAACACAACAAGACGAGTAGGTATCTTCAACCGTCAGTTTGTTCGGTCATGTTTTAGCTTTCTGGCCGTACCCGTACACGATATAGATGCCTACGTCCAACGGCAAGGTCCCGACGTAAGCGAGACGAGCCTCTCCACAGCTTCAAGCCATGGTTCGCTTATGAACCATCCACCCACATGGATCCCACCCAAGTGCAGCGGATCCTCCTCAGGCCTAGTCTATTCCTGCACTGTGCTCTACCTATAGGTACAAAGTCCCAACGGCAATGACAATCACCCACCAACCCACCCCTCCCTCCTCTCTGTAGAGCCTAGAGGCAAACATCCCGGCTGACAGACGACGACGGGAAGCAAGCGAGCGAAGGCCGTCAAGCAAGGGGGGGTTGAGGGAGGGTGTCTGGCCAACCGGCTTTTCTTTCCTGCGCATCTCAATATCTCGCCTTACTGGTCGCCTGCCTGCTCCCTCTCTCGCCTACCATTAGTTCCCGGATTCCTGGAACGCTGACCTTAAACTTGACCACTGCTTGCTGGCTCAGTCCTTAGCCCCTCCCCTCCCTACCTCCATGTGCAGAGGAGCTGTAGCGGTATCCACGGTCCAGTTTTTTCTCTCCACACCGGTTGTCAATACACAATAGCGGTCGGCTCTTGGGTCGCTAGTCCTCGGAGGCGTTCCAATGAGGCTTCTCTTGCTTTCTTCCTTACTCCGTCCACTGAGTGGAACAGATATTTGAGGCTAAAGGGGGCATCCAATGTGCATATGATACATGATATAGTACATGATATGATACATATTCGGCCGGGGAAAAGCCCCGAGCAATAGCATGGTACTGACAGACAACTCACGCCAATGACGAATCCTCAGAAACAGTTCGAATTTGAACAGCAAGCAGGATCTTAGGCTTAGCCAACACGAGCTCGTTTTCTCCTACTTGCGAGCAGAGGATGATGTCTCCTCATTTATCTGCAGCCTTTGAGTAATGGCTTCACCTCGGGCCAGTTTACGCCCGATGCCTTGCCTGTAGCGCCGTCCGCCCCCAGCAGTAGCCAAGGACTCGTGTGACATCTTTCAATCTCCATCTCATATGTCCATGCCAAGCAGCGTCGTCCACTATGTTCACATCGCTTCTGGCAAGCATTGGCACTCCTCACATCGCCCCATGAGCGGGTGTGCTCGTCCGGCTTGCCCACATGATCCGCTGTTAGCTCTGTTGGGCGGCTCTCAAGCGCCGACATAGCTGAGCCTCCAAACAACTGCCATACGTCGTGCCATAGCACTGGCTTGTCTATTTTTGCGAGTGTCTCCCCGACACGGCGCATCTCGCCGGGCTTCCGCAAGCCGTGGAATGAAAGTAGGGGCGAGCAGAAACGATCACCCCAGATGCGCGTGATGGAAGGAGGTTCACCATTGAAGTGATGATTATACGACTCTTCAATGTATATGCCTAGCTTCTGGAGTGTCGTCGCCACCAGTCGATCTCCCCACGTCTCGGTCATGGACTCGGTGTATGCTTCTTGCACGATGCCCGGGTGTTCGAACAAACGGCGCATCGCCTCTCCGGATATCAGGATTCCAGATCCTCCGTGCCCAAAACGCGCCTTGTAATCACCAACTGCGTTACCAATATACTGGGGCTTGCGGTAGTCAACGTGGCCCATGAGTAGCTCCAGAGATGATCGTATTAAGAAAGTGTCGTCATCTAAGATGATGTACCACTTTTTGCCCGGCAACTGATGATATATCATCTCCATGCCCATGATAAACTGCCTCTGTTAGTGGTGTGGAGAGAAGTTGTTGGAGAGACAAACTTTTAGCGCATCAAGCTCCCAGCCATAACTTTGCCCAATCTTCAGAGCTTCTTCTTCGTCTCCTGCTCGGAGCTTTGCCTGGAGACTTTTGTACTTTACCAGCCTGGGGTAATCATCCACCTTGCCTCTAATCTTGGTCTCCATAACTCTCTTGATAGCATCATGCACCGTCACGCCTATTAGCTTTGCGTCTGTCTGATTCACTGTTGTCCAATCTCCTACAACTAGGAAACTCTCGCCTTCTTTTCCTAAGAAATCCCCTGTTGCCTCAAAGGCAGCGAGCTGCTCAGGCACTCGGTGACGCGTTCCATACCCAGTTTTGATGAGGTAGCCCACTTCGTTCTTGAGATCTACGGCGTACCGTGGTGATTTCCATAACCAAGCGTCTCGGTTTGTTGCTGCGCCACGCAGAAAATTAAAGAAGCGCGAGATGTTGAAGACAAAAGCCAGGCGGATTGCTGAATCGTGGGGAAGGATAGAATAAATGATGAAGATAGAGATGAGGATAAGTATGAAGATGGACCGTATGCGACGTCTC